CTTATATTTACTGTTCTTCCACTCCTTCCCCTTCTTCCCCTTCTTCCCCTTCTTCCCCTTCTTCCCCTTCTTCCCCTTCTTCCCCTTCTTCCCCTTCTTCCCCTTCCCCTTAAATGTGTAACTTCACCATGGAATGAGCATCACAGTGCTATATACCATCTCCCTCCATCAGTACTTAGCCTGAAGATTTGTCTTAATTGAGCTGTGGCCTGATGGTTTTTTCCATTCGTTTTCAAAAGTGAGATAAGGAGACTGAAATATATATATACTCCACTAAGAAACCTCATATTAATAGCAGCTAACATTTTGCACCTCTGGAATCTAACAGTTTTTCACAAGATGGTCACCTATGGCTCTACAGGTGGTCTGTTCAGAGCTGTAAGCAATAATGCCTTATATAATAAATATAAAAATAAATACAAATAGTCCCGTTTCGCTGGGACAACAAAAAAATCAGTAAATGTTAATTTGAGTAACATGGAGCTGAAAGGGTGAAGCAGAAGCTGTGTTTCAGTGTTTTTCTGAAAAAGAAAGTGGTAAAGGTAATCATATTCTTCATTCTGCAATAAATAGCCCAAAGTCACAATGGATTGTGTGCAAAACTTTTGTAAGATTTTGACCTACCTTCTTGTCTTCTCTTACAGTTAGGTTGGTGATAAGAGAACATGTATACATGGTAGAAATCCTGTAATTAAACTGTAGGCCTGAGTTAATTGAAAATGTGATATATCAGCATAAATGCTTCCATATGAGCTATGTCATTTGGTTTGGGGTAAGTTCTACCATTCCAGAAAATAGATTGCTAACAGAATTTCTATACTCCCATTCTCTAGTCTTGGACTGAAAAATGAGTCAAGTACTGTCAGATCTTAAATTTTGCTACTGAAAGTAAGTTTTTCTGGGATATCTGAAACTGGAGTGGATCATAATTTCTTGCCTGACAGGTTAAAATGGATTCAGTCAAACTGCAATGCTTTCTGTGTAGGTCTGATTCCAGGGTGTTTTCCATATAAATCATCTCGGTTAGTCATTAGACAAATCTCAAAATTCCCAAACACGTTGATCATCATAATTTACAATTCCTAATCCCCGAAACCTTCATTAAGACTTTGGGTGATTATTGGTCTGTAAATCTTAGCAACAACTTGGTTCTTTCCTTTTGTGCTTGAGTAGTGAAGAAAACTTGCAACAGTTGGTGGAGTTGCAAGTGAAGATGCTGGTGGATTTTAGTGGCTTCTGGTTGACGTTAGTGGCTTTTGTGTCCATTGCATTCAGTTTAATAGGCTGTAAACACTAGGAGCTGATGAGAAATTATATGTTTGCATCTTTCCTTTACTATTTGGAGGCAGTAAATTCCAGGAAAGGAGGAGGATGAAGTCCTATGGCTGGTAAATATTTCACTTGTGCCATCAAGAATTATCAGAATATGCCTGCAGGACTCTGATAAGCCCTTGCAACAGCATTTTCAGTATAGCTTTCGTCTGTCATGTTCTTTTCCTAAAAACATTAACCTTTGTGTCTTCTTTGTTGAGCCCTTAATGTTTTAGTGAATGAACGGAGATTATTGATGGCACAGAAGCTTCTACAAGTTCATTTGTCAACAGATCATATATTCTAGAATATCACAAGTCACAATCATCTTTTTTAAATAATGGAAATAGTTAAATAGTGGCAACTAAAATCTTTCAAATTCTTACAAAAAGCTACTATTTCGTGAAATCATTTTCCCAACCAGTCACAGGGAGGCAAGTAGAAGAAGAGGGGAAAAAAAAAACAAACCCAAACCAAGTGTGTATGTAGTACAGAAGTGTATGGTCATACGGGGTGGCTCTTCATTTGGCACCTCCAACTACTCTTTCTTCCTTTCTCTTCTGGATATGCACAAGCCTCCTTATCCCCCTTCCTACATTGCATCTCAGAATATTCCTATCAGCCTATGGTTTTTTCATTGATAATATTATTTCATTCGTGTAGAGTTAATGAGGAAAGCTCACTGTGCCAAGCTGAACTAACTCATGGAAATGTACAGTTTTACCGTATAATCTTTGCCTAAGTCTATTATCTATACCTAAGAAAAGGGGAATATATTTTCTTTTATTTTTTTCCTGATGTTAAAAAATGGCTTAATTCAAATATATTATCAGTGTGTCTGCAATTATATGTATATAGTCTGGGCATCTACATCGGTCTAGACAGAAGGAAAAAGAGGGGAGTGGTGAAAAGCAATATTTTTTTTTCTCAGCTATTACATCTGTTTCATAGGGTGATTCTCTTCAGGGTGGTGATGATTCTCCGTTCTCAGATTCAATTACATTGGAACAAACAACAAGTAATATTGGAGTCTCAAGTGGACGTGTCAGCCTATGGATGCAGTGGATGTTGCCAAAAATTACTATAAAATTGTTTGCTCCTGATCCTAGAAACAATGGCACAGGTATTCAGCATTTTTCCCCTAATACATTATTTTAAATTCCATACATTATTTTACAGCACAGTATTAGCTATTCAGAGCATTTTTTGACAATATTAAACGTGGTAATGCAGAAATAAGGGGTTGGATCTATATTTTAAAATAGAGTGACAAGCTGTAGTTAGGTTAGTGCATGTAATCAGAATTCAGTGTTGTCCTTTGACATAAACTTTCCCCTCTGTGTGGAAAGATTATTATATTAAATTGCAAATAAGTTGGTTACTTAATAGACTGCTGCATTTATTGCCATAGAAGCAATCATGTTTCATTTTTATATGAGTTGGTAGTATGTTTTGTGTCTGTCCATGTATAGATATGTAGTTTTGTATTGATAATTTCAAATTTAAATTTAACATAGTCATCATAGTATAATCCTTAAACTCATAGGAAGTTTAATGTGGAGTTCAACATAGAAGTTTCAATTCTGTGTTGAAAAGATAAATATATGTAGTACCCAGCTTCTCTGGTTTTCTTTGAGATTAAAGTTGGATTATCATCCAGATAGTAATTGTTTGAAAGGAATTCAGATTCTATAAACGTACGGCAGGACTTCAAATATTTATTTTTTTTGTTAGCAAACACTGCTGCTTAGCAAACACGTCTGCTTAGCTATTAACACTCACAGAAATGTTAAAAAATAAGGAGACTAATGACTAAAGCTAATTTTCAAGGAGATGTACTTGAACTTGATTTAAAAAAAATAATTACATGAGAGAAAGAAATCTCAGGTATTGTTTGAGTAAATATCTTGGCAAATACTTTTTTACATTTTTCTTTTCAGGAATTACACTATGAACACCTGAACTAAAACCTCGCTACACATCTGAACTAAAACCTCTTTACAAATTTGTATAAAAAAAGATTGGATTCTAGGATTTTTTCTGGTTCTTGTCTGTGTGACACTTGAATCAAAAAGTGCTTTTTGAAAAAACTCTCAGTAGAAGTAACATCGTCCTATTTACAAAATGTAGCAACTCAGATACGGTTGTTGCTTAAGAATTTGCAAGTTTCAGATTAATAACTAATAATTTTCAGATTAATAACTAACAATTTTTATTTTCTTTGACTGTTGTAGAAGTTTGTGTTGTCAGTGAATTAGAAGACCTCAGTGCCTCAGTGGATATGCAGGATGTCTATACCAAAATCAAATGTAAAATAGAAAGCTTCAATATTGACCATTACAGAAACAGGTAATTCCTGGGAGTTACTCTGCTTTAATTTCAGGCTGAAAGAAGGCAGCAGGTGGGGGTTTTTTTCTTAACTCTTAACTTGAATTTAAGGTAATTGTTCGATTTCAGCAAAATAATTTTAAACTTTTAAGTAATAAAAATCAGAACATTTTCTTACAATTGTGTCTGATTGCAAAGAAATACATAGAAATCATTATAAATCAGGAGAGTGTTTTTTCACGCTTACTGCTCTGTTGGTCCATTAGACAAAACCAATTAATTTTAGCTGAACTTTTGAATGGGAAATTCCTTAAATACTGCTTCATGATGTGTTAGCAAGTGCCAATATTTAATGATTTATGGTACCATACTCTTAGATATTAAAAAGAAGTTTCTGAAAAATTGAGCTGTTTCTTTTGCTGTGGCTTAGCAACACCATAATGCAGGGAACTAAGCTGATTATCTGCATCAGTGTGACACAACAGTGTTATGCAGACATGCCCAAGTAAAATTTCAATGATTTAATGTCAACCAGTGTATCATCAATATTATGTACATTTAGGGTAGGTAGTTAGGCCTACTGTATGTCTTGCAGGTTTAGCAAGTCTTGTTAGTTGAATAGTTTACTGCACCAATGTGACTGCATTCATTTGGCACCTAGATGCACAGCTCTGTAGGGAGATTGCATGTGCCACCTTCTAGCTTGTATGGGCCATGAACACACTAGTCTTGACAAAATGTAAGTGAGCCTATGTAGTCTTTGATCAGCTGGGTTAGCGTTTGCCATCATAGACCAACAGATTCCGTTATGGGAGACAGAAATTAAGAGAAAATAGAATAGTTGTTGTGTTACTTCCTGAGAGGAGAAAAAAAAAATAGCTAAAAGCTTCAGAACCTTTTTTGGCATTGGAAGTTACTAAAATATTTAGAGAACAGATCATTTTGACTTAAGAGCCACTGTCTGCAAGGTCTTATTGGATGCGTTGTTCTCTATGTACAACATGAAGAAGATCTAGTATCAACTTTGTGAAGTCACCACCATTTCTGAGACTTTTTCTCTGGTCAGTCTAAAAAAAATTTTGAATTCCTGTTCTTTTGTCTAAATTACAAATGCAGTTTTTGTTTGTACATACTGTAATATTTGCTAATCAAAATTTGTACTTTATTTCAAAGAAGTCTTTTAAAATCAAGTCATGGTGCTTTAAAATGCATTGGAATCCCAGTAGCTAGGTGCTCTTGACAAACTTCTTTGTCCACAGATTCTATGAAAAGCTTGAGAGAAGGTACTTCGCCCCCAGGACCCTAATGCTCCATTAGAAATGTTTTCAACTTCAGGGTGTTCTTGTTAGCTAAAGTTATATTGAGGCTTTAAAAAAGAAAAGTTTTTGCACTTGACAAAATTGTTACTGTTCTTATTTATATCTCATAATCTCTTCAGAGTACCTTTCTCTATCTTTAAATCTCTGTGGACTAAAACCAAAAGCAGAGAATAGATAAGGTGAACGTTCTGTCTTCCAGGCCAGGGGGAGACTGGCAGTCAGGACATTTTGAAGGAATATTTCTACAATGCAGAGAAAAACTTTTGGTGAGATTTCTTTAGTAAACTATGGTGTTTACCTGATTAACTCTTCTTAAGCAACATATTTTTCTTTATTCTATATATGTTAAAAAGAATGATTACAAGAACTGTAGTACAAAGCACGTTTTAATACTTAATAGCTCTTTTTTTCTAAATAATACTATGATTTTGTAACTTTATATAAGTACAGCTTTTTGTTCACAGTTTCTTGGTTCTTGTAATCATTCTCCTCTTCATTCTAATAAAGCCATCTGCTGAAAATCCGGGGGTAAGTCCCTTTTCTGTATGCAGGATTTTACTATACTTTTATTCTCATGTGACTTGACCTCTTGCTATAGGTTGTCCTTTCATGTAAAATTTTACGATGTTTCCTTTTTTTTTTTTACCAGTTCTTTGCTTGATCTGATTGAATTTCAGCTTTTTAGGAAGAGGTATGGCATAGGGTTTATCTTGCAGTTACATAGGACTGTGCAAGTTTAGTGTAATTTTTTTTTTTTTGCTTACAGCAATTATTTTCTTTTTGCTTTTTGTCTTCCCCTATTCCATGCCTTGTTCATTACCTCAAGCCTTGGGGAAGATTCTTGGTCTCTGGGGCAATATGGAGGTGTGTTCCTTTCCTGTACTGACAAGCTGAACAGACGTACCTTGTTGGTTCGACCCATCAGCAAGCAGGACCCTTTCAGTAATTTCTCTGGCTTCTTTCCCTCTGTAAGAATCTTTTTTTTAAATTTTTTACTACAGAACTTCCACTAATAAATGCCAGTTGGAGTTAAAAAAAAAATCTCAAATGGCTTTAATTGCTTGTGATCTACATTTATTTTTTTTTTTACTGAATATATTTATTGCTTGTATGGATTATATTCATTGTGTTATTTCTCTCTTATCCTTTGGTAATAGTTGTCAGTAATTTTTTAGTAAATATGGGAATGAGGGTTGATGGTTCACAAGCTGGTACATAACAGCAATCCACTGAAGTCAATTGGATTTGTTAATATTAAAAATGAGCACGTACACTAATATTTGGAGACCAAATATATAAAAGCCGGTACTGAACACTGCATTTTGTTCATGTAATTCTGATATCTACTTAGGGATTTAAGTACTTTGTATTACTGCAATATACCTTTATACAACCTTCTAAAATTACTTCTTAAAATCATGGTAATGCTACAATTAACAATTTCATATTTGAGTCTTTCTTTTGAATTCTTGCAACATTACTTGTTAATTCACAATATCTCAGTGTGAGATATTTAACCCCTTTTTATCTTGCCTGTTTATCCTTGAAGTATTATGTCCCATGACATTGGGCTATTTATATTCACAAAGGTATGGCTGTATAAAATCTTTTTATTTTAGTGGAAGTTCTGTGTGGTCTGATTTATTTTCATCATGAATATTGATTGGTAATACTTTCTCTTACTCTGTTTGTTTCAGTTCTTATAGAAAATTAACTTACCATTTTTTTTAATTCACTTAATCATAAAAGCCTCCAGTTTTTCAGCATTTCAGCTATGTATCCTGTTTATTTAAGAAAGAGATGTTGTTCCTCTGTTAACAAGGTTTAAATTACATTAATTGTTTTAAATCAAATTTAAGATGCTGAAAGAAATGACTACTTACAAAATGTAGTTGCTTTCATTGTGCTGACATGATTAAAGCTAATATTTAAACAATCCTACAGAATTCTATCAAAATTTTTATTATACTTAATAGTTTTCATAGTTATGCTTAGATGGAGTGAAGCTATCTCAGCACCCAAGAGTTATTTTACCACCTATGGTATTTGCACATACAGAAGGAACAATGCAAAGGAGTACTTCTAAAATGTCCAAAGTGACGTCTTAGACGTTTCCAACTGTGTGAAAAATTATCAGAAAATGTTTGGTAAATTTAGACTTTTGAATATATGGGGGTTTTTTTGGCTGATTGGATTTGAATTTCATACAATGTAAATAATCATAAAAGAAAAAAATGTTCAGCAATTCATAGTTTTAGCTGAAGCCATACAGTGAAGTGTGGACACACTGTGGACAAATTGTTCATTCATAAAAAGGAAAGAGATTTTTTTCTACTATTCAGAGACAGTGAAAAGCTATTAGAAAATACCAAACTCTAAACATACTAACTAATAGAGAATATTGGTTGATGTTAAAATGTGTGCATTTTTGCAGCAGTTTGTTTATTTTTTTTTTCCCTGAAACAGACAACTGCGAAACTTTTAGATGGCTCACACCAACAACATGGATTTCTTTCTCTCACTTATACCAAAGCTGTGACAAAAAATGTCCGGCACAAACTGATATCAAGAAACGAACGAAGAACATTCCACAAGCTATCAGAAGGTCACACTGATGGTTCTCCTCACTTTCTTCATGAGATCCTTCTTTCTGCTCAGGCCTTTGATGTGGTCCTCTGTTTTCCATTGCTTAATGCGATTGCAAGCATTTTTCAAGCCAGGTTGCCGAGGAGTCAAAAGGAGAAAAGAAAATCACCGGGCCAACCTATGAGGACTCATGCTCTAACATCACGGAACTTGCCTCTGATTTATATCAACACTGGTGTAATAAGAGTCTTCTTTCCCAAAAATGAGGAAGATCGTCATACTTCAGAAGGTACAGTGTTTTATGTTAGAGATTTTTTGTTCTTCAGTAGTGTAGGTGTGTATTTTAACTTCGTTAAATTGCTGACCGTTGCTAGGGCCTTCAGTTTTAAGGGTCAGAGTTAGGAAAGATCTAATATGCATGCTACTTCTCTGCAGACTTGCTGAAAAGGGGGGTTTTTTTAGGTATTTACTTGAGCTTTGCTTTCACAGTACTTATAGTTTGCATTTTAAATATGATTATAAAAAAAAAAAGGGGGGGCGGGGGGGGGAGGGTCAGTCAAGAATTGCGGAAAGAGAACTTAACCCAGTTCTGCAGTGGTGTTTCTTGTGTCAGCTCTCATTACGCTGCTCTCATTCAGTCTTCCATAGAAACCTGTTCCAGTGATGGAGTGTAAGCATTAGAGCCTTAGCTCTTGTGGAAATTGGCAGCTAGAAAACCATGCAAGAGTGAAACAGATAGATATCCCAGTTCAGCTTGGAAAAGTTATTAAAACGTACCTTATGATTGATGCCCAACAGATGATAAAGTTTATAATTTATTTAGTAAGTCTTAGTTGAAGCTATTTGGACTCCCTTATATAAGAAGGTTTCAGGTGTTTAAAGAGGTGTGGACAGCAAAGCTGTTCTTTCAAACAACAGTAAGTAGCCATTTGATCTATGGATGATACTTCTTTTCCGTAACAAATTGTTTTCCCTTTGTACATAAAATATATTTGCATCCCTATTACAATCTTTATATGTAAATAAAGAATTTTTTTAAAATTGCACGTGGCAACAGCTAGCAGGAATTTGATCACTTCCATTACCAACAATTCTTCTAGAGATTAAAAAAAAAAAAGAAGTGGGGGGAAAAGTGTTTTACTGGTAACATGATGTGTTTACATAAGTCCGATAGGTATGTTTTGGGTTTTTTTACCATTGTATTAGTTAGCACGCAATATAATCCTAAGAGTATAGTCTTTAGATTTTTCTCATAACCTAATTGCAAGAAGTGCAGACAGTGAGAATTTACATAGATCATTTTTTTGCCAGCATCCTCTACAATTTTCCAACTGGGAATGCTGAAAACACAGGAAGATAAAATTAGACGGGCTGTGTTGGCAAGAAAGAATTATGATTCTGGTTGGAAGGGAGTTCTAGGGCATGCTGTCAAGGAAATCTTTTTTTAAAAGTATGTTTTTGTAGCTCTATAGCTGTATACATCGTTAAAAAGAAATTATAAAAAACTTTGTCTTATTGCTATCCCTTGCTTGAAAATGCATGCGAAGAACAGAATTGCCATGGTTAACCATGGATTTAGGAAGAAAAGCTGTGTATGCTTTTAAAGAATAATGCTAAAGATTAGCTTTACTGAATTAATAAGGAATTCAGGTAGCCTCTTCTACTGGAAAATTCTGAAATATCATCACTATGAAAATCAGTACTATTCTCTTTTGCGTTTCTTCTTTCACCCCAGATTTTCCCAAACTCTCATCTGTTTCTGCATGTGAAGTAAATTGCTTCTGTCTTCTACTGCTTATTGTCTTCAAGAACAATAGAAATTAGAAACAATAATAAGGAGTAAGAATTGAATACAACCCATGTTGCTGGTATGCTAGGTCAGAAAAGTGTTATATATTGTAGAGATGCGTCCCTATAACACCTCATTCATCATTTATTGATTAAGGCTGATTTTTTAATCCAATAAGATTTGCCTGTTTCAAGTTGTGATCACTGCAGTAAAAGTAGAAAAACAATGACCTCAGTTTCTCTTCTAGTCAGTCGTCTGCTGTTCATACCTTGTACCTAGTGATAGCTACCGAAACTGTCCTTCCCCCAAAAAAACACATGCAATTGTGACTTTACATATAGAGTTAAAAAAAACAAAACAAACCCAAACCAAATCTGTTCTTTATTCATGCAGTCCAAAACCAAACTTGCACCATGAACTGTGGTACACAAACACTATGAAATAATCAAAATCATGATTTTTCTCCTGAGGAATTTATATACATGCATGCATATGCCCCCACAGTTTTATAACACTTGAGTTTCATGGGTTTTGCAGCAGCACCAAACTAACATTTCTTTTTGCGTTGGACTTGAGGGCAGCATTCTATCCTAGGCAATAAGCAATCCTGATTTCCCTCAGAGTTTGATTTGTTAATACATCAAGCGGTGGTTCAAGCTCTGGCCAACAGCCCACGCTTACTTTGTGATGAAGTAAAGACAACTAAATATATAAAAGCAATATATAATGAACAGACATACTGCATAGCAGAACACTGAGTAAAAATTGTAAATTGCAAAAAACTGATAAGAAGTGGTAAAGACAGGTAAAATCCACATCTGGGTGGTTTGAGGACAATAGGAACTTTTTTTAATATGTACTTGGAGCAAAATATCAAGCTTCACTAGAAAGGACATGACAAATTTGTTGATAGTGAAAAAGAAAAGGCGGCATACCAAATAAACGTATGTCCTGCATTTGTAGAAGTGATATATTCTTGTCACATGAGCATGAGTCCCTACTTTGAAGTCTGTCCTAACATATGGTCTGTAACATCCTCTTTGCTTACTATTAAAGAGTTTCAAATCAGAGTAACTTGTGCTCAGGGTCTTAATCTTCTGAGGCTAATTTTTAACACACCTTGGAAGAGCAGGTTTTAGACAGCTGAAGGTATATTTAGTAAAATGAGAAGTGTGATGTTCAAATAAAATTAAGACAGGTAGTTTTATTGCTCTCCCTCAGAGAACGTAAAGGAGAAAAAAAAAATCTATTACAGGATTCAGTTAATAAAGAGTTACATACTTCTTACACGATAATAAATATAGTTTTATGGAAAATTAGTCTTGTTAAACATGTCTGATTTCCATTCTTGATTATGCTTACAATGCTTAGTTGATAAAACGTTGCAAAGATTTTATGCTTAGACTTTTGTAAGGAGTTTGACAGTCTGTCTCATGGTATTCTAATTTAAATACATCCTCATAAGATATCTGTGGAAATGTTAAATGAATTAAAAATGGCTAGCTAGAAGTCTAAAAAAAATAAATTGTCATTTGGAAATAATAAGTGAAATTGGTATTTAATAATCTGAAAGTAACTATAAAATCATTGCTTCTAGCATCAGCATATGTTGCAAAGAATTTACTGAGGAAAATAATGTTAAGGACTCTATAGGCCATGCATCTGGATCACTGTGCTTACATCACTGCTTGTAGAAAATATACTAAATCTTCTAAAGCTAAAGTTATATATCAAGGAAAATCTTTATGCAGACTATATCTTCAGGACTGGAGAGACTATCCTGAGAAAGTGGCTGAAAACAGCTTAAGCGTCACAGTGGAACTTAGTGAAAAGAAATAAGGGCAGTAGCTGTACTTCTGCATATGGCAGATGATGGAATATCATGTCTAACTTGCCTTCTATTATAAAAATGGGAATTGATAAAACTGGAGAGGGTGCTGAAAAACACCACAAATGTTTATCAAGTGCTTTGAGAGAAGCCTTACAAGGAAATATGAAAAGAGCATGATGTGTTTAGCTCACCAAAAAGAATGCTGAGATGAGTGGGTAGAACCAAGTGACATTGTGAACAACATTATTATACTTGGGTAAGTAAGTTTTTCCTAGATTGTACTTATATTGTGTAGTGTAGACTTCCCCCCCCCAATTTTTTTAATATTTCTAATGTCTCTGATGATGTTTACTACACTATTCCCATATTTTGAAAAGCTAATGGGAGAATTCATGGGTTAATGAATAGAGGTATGAATTCATCATCCTAAATCATGACTCAGATTACCACTCATTAGAAACCAGCTGAAAATATTAATGCCTGTACTTCTTTTTGCTTTAAGACTGACTTAATTCCTTGACCTACAAGAGGCTGTACACAGAAGAACCATGCCCAGCCTTGAAAAAAAATCTTAAACAAATGACATAGTAGAGACTGTGATGAGTAGTCCTGTGTTTGTTTTGCTTTGCTCAGTGTCAGAGATGAATTAAAATTCTTAGCCTAAGATATATTTTATTACAAACCACTTATCAGAATAAGACATTTGCCACCTAATTAAGTTGCAATTACAATCTGAAGTATATTTAATACCTTCGCTCCTTTTTCTTATGTATCAGGAAAAAAAATCCAACACATTAAGTGTTACAGCAGCAGGAATCCTAATACTTAGTACCATGCCTTGCTCATTTTTTGATCTAAAAGTTGTAAATATGGTTTCTTATTTAGTCACAAACAGGATTTTGTTGTCAGCTTACCTTTCTACCTTAGTTCTGGCAACCAAACCATTTTTATGTGGTTTTGCTCTGCTTTGGGGACTAAAGGATTTGACTTTGCTTTTTAAATAGATGAGGTTCTTTTAAGTAAAACCCTAGTGTTCTGATTTAGTTATGTGTCAGAACTTGTGTTACCACTCTGCTGCATATTTACTGTGGTATTCCCTACAATAGTTTCAAAATATCATATTAGAATGTCTGGGAATTCTGTGATTTCTTCTATCGGTTCAAAAATATACATGTGTATATATATAGCTGCAAAGCATGGTGTCTTAGTCACTGAGAGACATTAACGGGTCTGGAGAAGCCATTTTTTAAGCTCATAGATTTCACTGGTTCTTTCCACACCAAGCATTTAATCCTTCAGTAAAATATTTAAACTCTTCTCTCCTACTGTAATGTTCTTTTCAGAACTCATATATGAGAGTCTCTCAGAATTTTCTTGTTATGTGGCATAGTGGTGTTGAAATGAACCATTTTACTTCAGATGATGAACTCTGAGTTTGCATCACATGTTCCTTGGGAGCTTCCTAGTCACTATGAAGTCTTCTGAGCAGAAGCTTATCCAAATGCTTTGTGTAGGTCTGTGTCTGCTGAGAAGGAGATACAGGAAAAGACTGAGTTTACTGCAAGGAATCTTCACAGTTTACTTACTACAAGAAATGTGGTGCTATTTTTTTCTGCGCAGGACTTTGGTTTTCTATCTAATATGACTGCTGCTTTTAAAATGAAGCAGTTGTACATGTGGCTGAAATTTGAATATGATGGAGATGAAGTGGAAAGCAGAGATTTTTCTTCTTGGAGTAATTTTGTTATTGATGTGGAATTTACTGTCCAGTACTACATCTTGTTCTTTGTATATGTGTCAGATTTCAGATTCTCTTGTTTCAGTCCTTGTGTTTGAACTTTTCATGTGTGTTGCAACCCATACCAAATGCTACTAGGATGGTTACATTGTAATATCCTGCAGCCTTTTAAATCTAAAGGACCTGGGCCCATATTAAAAAGAGTGCATGATTCAGATATTTCAGCAGGTAATTACTGGAGAAATAGACAGATCACAGAGAAGTCTGTGGGATCAACATGATTTTGGACAAAAAAAAACAAACCTGAAATAAAAAAGCATCGGAGAAAAAATGACAAGTCACAGACCAGGGTTTATTTGTGTCATAAAACTCTGTGGGGAAATTAAATTACAATACTTTTGTCTTTTATGTATCACAACAGTGCTATTGATTTTATGGCTTTTTTTTGTTTTCAGTCAGTGGTTGCTCCTGAGCAGAGCTGTATCCTTAGCAGACATTCTTATGTAGATTTTTTTAAGAAATGGTTTTTCAGTGTTTCTACTATGTGCATTTGACTTTTAATCAAACACATATTTTCTCTTCTCCTAACTACAGCTAATCCAGCAATTGAAGAAGACACTTTGGTTCTCAAGATTGGATCTGTCTCTATGGCTCCTCAGGCTGACAACCCTCTTAGTAGAGCTGTGCTCAGAAAAGACATTTATCAGTAAGTGTTGGGGGAAGGGTTGGGGTTTTCATATATGGTCTCAGAAAAATTCATTTTGGGAGAAGTTAATTGATCAATAAAACGGGTACGTGCAGCCTGTAAAAATACTTTTCACATACAATCTTTTGATATTCAAAACCAGGTTTTTCTGATTTTCTTCACTTGCGGGCTTTCAAATCCATTTAGACAAATCAAGTTCTTCTGTGAAGTGCTGATGAATAACAGAATTTAAATGTCAAGTCATTACAAGGCTTAAGCTCCCAGATGAGAACATTTTAAGAGACTTTCTTTTATTCAGCTACTACTAAGTTCACCTAAGAGAAAAGGAATTTTTTTGTGACTACCAAAGTGCTCAGTAGCCATATAGTGTGAAGGAGATAGATCTTAATAATATAAATGGTAAACATATATTCAAACTGTAGGATTCTTGATGTCATGTAGATCAAAGCTGAAAGGAATGCAAACTTCTAAGGAGCTCTTTCCCAGTAAACACATTTTCTGTGAAAATGTCATGCTCTGGATTGTGTCACTAAGTATGTGCAAACCACACTAATCATATATAGGCAGCAAAACTGGTGAACATATGTAATCAACATGATAAAAGTAATATATGATCCTTAGTAGAGTTGGCACTGTTGCCAGACATGAAAGTATGGTTGCAAATAATACCAAGTGAGAAAAGTCACAGAAATACAGATGAACAAGTGTCTTATACTTCCCGTTGGTCTGTTTTTCAGATGTGGCAATATTTTTAACTACTTCATAGTGCTCTTCAATAGAAATTACAAACATCAAAATCTTTTCCCAGCAGTAAAACATTTACTGCCTAGAAAATGACAGCAAGTTTTACTTTTTGTCAAGACTAGGATTTTTAGGGACCATGAAATACCTCCAGTTTCTCTTCTGATCATCTTCATATTCCTGTGTGGAAATATTTGAATTAGTGGGGTTTGCTTGTATGTTTAGTTATAGTAGGGTTTTTTTTCATTGGTTTTGTTTTTTTAAATGAGCATTGTATCTATTGTGTTACGGAGCTTTCATGGAAGAAATCTTACGGCCTGGCAACAGCTTTGGGTTGCAGGGCCTGATACAACTCTCAATGTGCCCATAGTTAAAAGATCTTCCTGACAGTCCTCCAGGCTCTCCCTGCTTCTGCCCGCTCTGTCCAAGGAAATCTGTCCCATCTGTTATCTACTTGGAGAGTTACGGAATCTAACCTAATGTAGGTTACATTCATCTTCTGTCAGGAATGAAAAATTTATCAGAAAAATTCGCTATTGTAAAGTGGAATCTGCAAGTTCCAGTTTCCGTAAGGTCGTTTCTGTCACCTAGGGGAACTGTGCAATGTTCCTTGTACGCACATTACAAATCAATGAGTAAGCAACAGGAGGGATACGATTTACTTCTAAAATCAATGAAGCTATGCCAATTTACATTTTTGAGTCTGATCTCTTGTCATCTGTGGTTGTACTTGAAATGCAGAAAATCCATGCTTTTAAAACTGAAAGTCACTCCTTTGCCCCTTTGCATTAGGGGTCTCTAGCTCTTATACAAATAAATGTTCTGGACTACATTTGTGCAGTGTGTATTTGGTTATCATAGTTTTATACAGTTACGATATGCTTCAGTCCTCCCTTAGAAATCGAGACATCAAATGGATGAGGTAGAAATAAGCGCTGGGCCACAGACATCTCTCATCTGCCTGTTAACTGGCTTTTTTGTCACAACATCATGCTTCCTGTGTCCTTTTCTGAGAAATGTCTGCCATTTTCAGTAATTTCCTTTAACTGCTTCAGTCACCATTCTTCTAATTTCTCAGCAGCTGTCAAATGACAGTCTTATCTTTGTTCCTTTAATCATCTAATTATACTAGCTTTAGTGTTTTTAAAATACGTTGGGGCAGAGTGTCAAGTTACTTTGCAGAGTTTTATGAGACAATATTGAAGTTGGTAGTGGGTGGTCTTTTGGTTTTGGGAAGAGGGTTACTATTTTGATCTGTTTAAACAAGCGTCAATGCTTTTGAGCAATATGAATTAATATTTTTTAATTAAAAATATTAAGATTTCAGTTTGGACTCAAAGCTGGTAACATTTACTAATTATATATTCTTTGATCCAGAACATAGTGTAGTTACAGAAGCATGGTTGAAGATAGCTGTTAATTTTCTTACATGACAGTCATGGCTGTTAGACCAGTGGAGTTGTGAGTGGAGTTAATTTCACTGTTTGTCAGGGTTTTTTTAGAAAATAAGATAATACTAAGGTTTGTGTATTATTAGAGCAGGCCACACAGCCTGTATTCAAGGGGAAAAAACCCAGTGGTATATTTTCAACACATAGGCCTGATGTTAGTATTATGAGATTTCTCAATTTACACAGTATTTGCCCTTTTAACCTGCCCACAGTAGAAGGTACTAGATAGCAAAAATGTGTAACTGGAGCTAATAAAGAATGCTGAAAAATCAAGTAGTAAAATGAGCAAACCCACACAATGTGTAACTTACATATTTTGGTGAAAGATTTCTTAGTAAATATCAACAGAGGTACAAGTAGTACAATATCCAGCTTAAGAGACTCTAAAAAAAAAAAAAGAAAAGAATTACAGCAGCCTGTTGATTACTGAAGAATTAGCTGCTACAGCATTCTAATAATCCCAACATGTCATCTTCTGTCTTTTTCCAACCTCTCTTCTCCTCTAATTTGCTGCTGCTGCTTTTAATAGAATAAAAGAAAATAAATCATTGTCTGAACCACTGTCTTTACAGTGTTTCTGGAGTGGGGATACAAACTTAATTTGTGGTGTCACTTTGGTTTAAACAGTCTTCTGTTTAGGTCTGAACTACAACCACATGCAATTAATGTCACTTTTGTAGTGTTTCATGAGAAAGAAGAATTTTTGCTTCTCATTTAGAAAGTGTTCTTTTAGGAAAGGCGGAGAAACTATTTCATGGCGAAAGGCTGAATAGAATTTCCAAATATCTTTTGAATTTGTCCCATAAGTTCATACATGAAAAACTGAATGTGTTTATATATCATCAACAGAATGCCAGTGCATGAAAAGTAAATCTGGTATGGCTGCAGGTTATACTAAATAAACTGGACCACTTCTGACCTGTAAGATGAAGTGACTCCATCTATGTCTTAGGAAAAATAGCTTACTTGCTTAACTTGGAGTGAGAACTAAATTGAAAATGGAATGTTGGAAAAATAATGTGCCCCTAAAGTTTGAGCACAGATATTTTTTCAGGTGATTATTGGAAGTTGGAAAGAAATGTATTGACATAGTTACTTCAGTTTTCTTATACTATATAAAAATTAATCTAAAAATAACCATTTCCTCCAGTAGAAGATGGACTAAATTGGTTTAGACTATTGGTACATGTAGTAAACAAAGATGCATGTACTGTAACAGTAAATACAGGGCTCCTGAAAGAAGGAGAGTGACACATTTTTAGCTGGTGACAGTAAGAGACAATTTCTCCTTTTCAAATTTTTTTTTCTACTAAATCCTAGGAGTTGATTTGTTTGTTTTAATGATTTCTCATGAATTTCTGATCCTCAGCTAAGGTGTTTTTGTCTTAAAAAAATATGACCAGAATTGTGCCCATCAAGAAACTGCCAGTTCTGTGGTGCAGAACTCTTGTAGATATGAAATGGCCTTGGGCTGGGGAGCAGAATATAGGAGATTTTGGATAAGGATGCAAGTGAGACAGCTGCTTAGCCTGACTTAAAAGAGGGAAGAGCAATTAGTTACAACTGTGGAGGAGTCAGATAGTTAGAGTAAATGAAGTTTCTACTAAGCAGTGAAGGAGAGAACCATATTTTATGGGTTTTAATTACCTGATCATTTTAAACTCGGGTTGGGGGGGGGGGGGGGGGGTGGTGTTTAGCATGCTGCAGAAAAGCAAGATGATGTGGTCATTTCTTGGCTTGTGTGATCATGCTGTGTATGTTAGAACTTTTGAAGTGGCCAAATCGAATCGTCACGTACATTTGACAAAATGGAGAAAGGTCTAGCAGTTTGTGGGAAGAAGAGTGCTGAGACAGCGAAATCATGTTAATGCCCTGATGGAGTAAAAGTCATCCAGTTATTTGGTATCAGAGAAATTACATTGGAGGAAAATTTTATAAATGCTGTAACTACAGGGGGGAAAAAAAAAAAGCATCTCTGGAGGCAAAAAATTTCATTTCTCAGTCCTGGGCTTGGTCCTGTTTGGCTCTCTGGTGTCTAAGTAAGGTAAAAATTCCAACTGAAGTTTTCTTCCTCAAGATCTTCATAAAGCCCTCTCATCTGTGGATTTTTGGTACCTAACATCAAAGGTATGCTTCTGCTACACTGTTACTGTAACGAAATTAAGGACTTCTCTGTGTAGGTGGTATACAGTTACTTTTAGCAGTTGTGTTTGTAGCATGCTTTCTTCACTTTGGAGGACATCAGTTAAGATTTCATACTAGCAGTTAGCACTTCTCTAAAAACTTAAATGTATGTTTTCATGTGGAGTGTGCTAAAGGCAGTTATGTGGCTACTTCCGTTACAAAAAAATCCAAGGGAAGCATAGAATCATGGAATAATTTCAGTTGGAAGGAACCCCTCTAGTTCATCTAGACCAGCCTCCTACTCAAAGCAATTTAGATCAGGTTGCTCAAGTCTTTCTCCAGACAACAAACAGAGCAGATTATTTAGATGTGTTTGATAATCACTTGTCAAAAGAATAGACTTTTAATGGATATAAAGAATTCTGAGGGCACCAGGCCAGAAGATCCTTTTCCATGTATGGAGATGGCTGCAGCAAACAGAGTAGCATCTCCTGGGGTAGCTCAAAAAGCCACATGTCCTTCTTTGTGCGTCTTCATATGTTTTCCCTTTGTCATTTCCTTAGTTCTTTCTCTTTTATTAAAAGTGGCTAATGTAGAATATCAGCATGAATAAATTATAAAGCTTTAAAGAAGTGGAACTAATCAAATGTGTCTGTGGTCTTCTTAGCCAGTTTTCTGCCCAAT